CTAGATTCGATTTCCGTATTTGGCAATTTCCCTGACTGTAATAAGACTTTAATATGATGAGATGATCTTCAAAATCAACCAATCATAATAAAGCCCGCTATGCTCTGTACGTACTGTACGCGAAAAAAATTGGGCTATCATATAAACGGCACATCACTAGTCATCACTGATATCACGTGAATTTGACTCCACTTTAGACGTCCTCTATAAAAGGAAATTGTTATCAAATTAAGCAATAATTTTTTTGGTTGTTTTTAGTGATTTAGCGATTTAGTGTTTTAGTGATTTAACGTTTTAGTGTTTTAGTGATTTAATGTTTTAGGAAATTTGTCCCAAACACTTGGATCAACATAAAAAAGCCTATTTGCTGCCATATCTAACCAATAAAATCTACTACACAAGACATAAAAGTATTAAAAACTATTCTCAATATAATAAATCAAACAATAAAAAAATTTTAGTATGTAAAACTTAAGTCTTGTTCGTACTTTTCAGTCTTTTCAGTTTGTCCATTTCAATATTTAACACATATATACGCTTATATATAGTAATAAATAGTAAAATCTTCGCTTCTAATTGAGGTTCTCCAGGTCTTGATTGTTTTTGATTATTTTTACATTGTGAATATTGACATTCTTCCGCACGTATTGGTGGTATTTACGATAGTTTTTAGTTAATGAAACGTTACGTTCTTAAAAAGTACTTAAAAGTGTATAAATAAGTTACCCGGGAAATTGATTTACACTAGCCAATCACACGAAAGTCTTTCTATTGATGGCTAGGGTACGCCCCGCATGGGTTTACTTATTTCTCACTGTGATACAAATCATATGAAATTATAAATATTCTATTTGCTGTAAATTTACTTTAACTTTAAAGTTAGGAAGAATAGATTCTATACTAAAATTTTGCAAGGAATTTTTTTTGTTAGAACACAAGAGGCGGTTTTTTAGACAAAATTTTGAGTTATTGGCGGTTTTTTGAAAAATACCAACAAATACTAACAGATTTCATGTTACACCTGATCTTACGATCTACATACAAAAATTTCCTTTTTTTGGTTTGTATCACGGTGGGAAATAAGGGCACGCCATGCTAAGTGCATGCTTCATACGTATTACGGTTATGAAATAATCTGAAACATATCGATATGTGCAAGATATGCACTTTTTTTTCTAATACAGCTATGGAAACATATTTAAAACAGATTTATGATTATGAATCTAATGACTACAAGAAAATAAGCAAAGGGTGGACGAGTGGAAACGAGGAACTAGATGATATTATAAAAGAATCGCAACTAAAGGCAAAATATCATGATAAAGTGATCGAATGGATTCCTTTTGATAGATTAGAAAGTATTAAAAAAATCGACGAAGGTGGTTTTGATACTGTTTATTCTGCAATTTGGTTAGATGGAAAGCGAATACAATTGAAAAAAAACAATAAATTGATATTATCGCGCAAAAAAAAATGCATGGTTGCTCTTAAATCAGGGGTTTACGAAAAAATTCTTAAAGAGGTAATGTTGAAATATATTATTCGTTCATCATTCTGTATTTTATCTTATTATTATCATTATTTAGCTTAAAACTCTCGTAGAATTTGTAAATCAAAAGAACTTTTTTGAAACATATGGGATATCCCGTCATCCAGAAACAGAACAATATATGATTGTATGTCAATATGCAAATGGAGGAAATCTTCGGAAATATTTAAGTGAAAACTTTAAGAAACTCACTTGGGCGGACAAGTTGAAACTTCTTTTTCAGTTGCGTACAATCTAAGTCAAATTCATAATATGGGATATGTGCATAAAGATTTGCACGGTGGAAGTATAGAAGTAATTACCAATGCAACCAATGCAACTGCATATATCTCTGATTTCAATATGGCTAACAAAATTGAGCAAGAACATGAGGATAAAGAAATATACGGAGTGTTGCCCTACGTAGCTCCCGAAGTTTTAATGGGTCATGGATATACAACAGCATCGGACATTTATAGTTTTGGTGTTATATTAAGTGTAGTCTCTACAGGAATTGGTCCTTTTGATGATCGCTCATTTAACTTTGAATTGGTACTAGAGATAGTAGAAGGAGGCTTACGCCCGGAGTTTGGTATGGGAACGCCTGATCCTTATGTTGAATTGGCAAAACAGTGTATGGATGAAGATCCAAAAAAACGACCAAGTGCTGAAAACATTTGCCAAATTTTATTTAATTGGTATCATATCTTCGATTACGATCCTGAATGTTTAAACGAAAAGGAACTTAAAATTAAGAAGGCGGATGAGTAACCGTGATACGTAGAAACATTAGAACTCAGAATATTGTGATATGTAGTATCCGTCAGGGCTAATTTGTTTAATTGGACCTTTTTTTTGGTCACTAAAATTCTGATCAATGATCTCTTAGTTATAATGT